TATATATATATATATATATATATTGTATAAATATAGTAAAGTTACAAAGTATAGTAAGGTAAAGTAAGGTGAAAAAAAATTAGTATTTTATAAAGTGTTCAAATCTCCATAAATATTCAAGCTAAACTTACGAAGTTTTGCGAATTTATTGCATATAATAACAAAAAAAAGTTCTACAAGTTACAAATACCGTGCTCTATTTTCGGTTTCTAATTTATTGTCGGTCCCTCGAACCTCTTAAAGTTCTTAATTTCATTGATATAGATGAGAAACCGCATGATCTAAACGCTTCTAAAATTATAAAATGATTCTTTAAGTACTTCTTGAGAAATATGAAATAATGTCTTTTGTGGATGTAATTTTTTTTACCGTTGCAACATTTAAGATTTAAACTGAACTCGAAATTGTATTTAAATAATGTATTTAAATCAAGAAAAACTTAAGTAAATAAAGTATGTTAAGAAGAAAATATATTCAGCATATGTCGTTCATATGCTTTGCTGTACATTATTTAAGAACGTTTTAATCTTTCAATGATTTTATGGAACAGCGGATCCTCCAGCTCTGAATAGTACTTGCAAAAGAGATTCTTGGCCTCAGTGATATGCGTGCGTTTACTACTATGGTTGCGAACGGGTTAAAGAGCAAATATTTCTTATTGCATAGTATGAGTGATCTTTCAAGAAGAAAATTCTTATAAAAGAAATATGACACATAAATTATTTGCAGAATATCATCTATTTATATAAATTTCTTCCAGAATTTTATTTTCAATTTTTTGTAGATGCAACAAGCACATTGTTTTAAAATTGCACATTTCTTAGTTTAAATCAATAGGAAGTATATTTTTTTATAATTATTTTAAAGTGCAATTTTTTTTTTAAAGTTTCTATTTTTGGTAAAATTCTTTTTAAACTTACAAATCTTTTTTCTAAACTATACTTCATCAATTTAAGTAAGTACACAAAAACTACAAAAATTAATTGTTTAGATTTCTTGTAATGAAAATAGCACAGTTGCTAGAGTCACCCAACACTGAACAAATGATTACAAAACTGTACTAAATAAACATTATTTATAGATTATACAAAAAAAGTTTTTACTCACTTACAGAAACATTGAACCGCCCAACTTAAATCTACCATTGAGAAAAGTTCTTATTTACACAACTTTGAAATGTCTCACAATCATCCTGGAAATATTTTAATTGGTTGCAAGTGCAATGAGATAGAACAGATTACACTATCATCTACTTATTAATGATATCATTCATTTATTTGTGAGTAAACAAACAAAATGAGTGAAGAAAGAAAATGAGCTAATTTGTGAGTAAACAATTTGTGATAAACAAACTCATATGAGTAACATGACTCCCAAGTTTGATTTACTTAAAAGGTATTCCAGCTCTTAATCATCCCGTAAATATTTAACTGAAGATCTATTGTATGCCTTCACAAAAACTACATTCCTTTTTTCTTAGTCTGCAAAGCCTTTGACTGCTCTTTACGCTAAGAAATTTTTTAAAGTTTCTTATAATGCAGAAGAGAGCACAAAAATTATCGAAGCGCAAACATCGTTAAAAAGTCCTTCTTAGAGTCAAATTTAAGATAATTTACAGCAATTTCTGGTTTCTGTCTTATTATCCTAAAGTAAAGATATTGAAAAATTGAAACGACAAGAAAAATCTAGTTTGAATATAAGTTAGGGGAGAGTACTGTGGTCATTTTTTACAAATTTGTCAAAACACCATATTTTAAACTCATGAAATATTTTTTTAAAATAAATTGGACGCTTTTTAACAATAATTGACTGCATTATACTTTATATCTTGAAATACAAAGTTGTTATCTAGCATTACCATAATATTTTTTTTAAAAAAAAAGATCGTTTTCATCCCCACTAGCCCCACTACGCTTCGCTAGCGTGAACATGTCATACGGCTATAGTGTGGTGTAACTTGATTACTCATTAAGTAGTCTTTAATACAACTCAGAAAAGTATATCTAAAGCCTAACTGCTATTAATTTCCTACCAAATCTTACTGGAGAATAAATATTGGCACATTTTAAGTACAGTACTAATTTGTCATAAAGCATTTCATTATACCTACTTAGAAAGAGAGTTTGTACGCAAATCAAGATATTTGAAAACTAATATTCAATTTGATTTATTTGAAAGCACAGAACCAATTTTAAGCTGAATCAATTTTAATAACCTTAGTTTTAAATTGATGAGAAAATGGTTCGATTAAAGAACACACGGAGTGCATGGTAGAGAGATATTTCCTCCATTGGAGCAATGTAAACAAATCGCAATAGAGAGGACGGAACTATTCGCTGTCATTCTGTTTTAATTTAATGAGTTTTAGTTTGAACGCAACTTTTTTTAAATTTAATTTATCTGGAATATTTGACCGATTTCGATCAAATTTTGTATTTTCCATGCAAAATTGCATTCTTTAAAATGCAGTAAAAAATTATAAACCTTACAATTCAAATTTTTCTGTTTATTATTAAATTAAATTAAATAATAAAAAATAATAATAAGTATTTACTAAAGCATTTTTTTCTTGGGATTATCTTAGGATAAATGAATTTTATAATCGCGTGCAATTAATTCAGTTCGCTTAAAAAGTTTTCGAGATATGGTGAAATGTGTAAAAAGTAAAATTAACAATAAGGGGACCAAACTTTGGACCGCCCTCATCTGACCAAAAGTTTAAGACCATATTTCCTAGATTACGGTTAGCCCCTATATTTTGGAAGCCAAATTCAGAAATCATCAGTAAAAAAATGTGTTTATTCAGAGAAAGTACATTTGTGTCTTTTTTCGTACTTTATGATATCGTCTGCACAAACTAATTAGCATATTTGATAACACCCCTTAAACCATTAAGATTAAGTCTTAAAACGTAAAGATCCAATCATTAAATCAAAAGTCATTAAGGGTGGACCATTTTTTTATTTCGCGCATTTACTTCAATTGCCAATTTACGATATCTCACGGAGAAAATTTGACCAATAAATTAAAAAAATCTTCCAGATGTTCACTCCTCTCCCTTACTTCATTTTGAGAGAGAGAAAACTTTTACTGAAATAAAAATTAAACTTTTTGTTCACTGAGAAAAAAATATGGCTTAAACTACCAGAATATGCCAAAAATTCTGTTTCTGGCTCTATGAAAAAACAAAAAAAATCTCGATAATTTTTACCCAATGCTTTGGTTACGATTTTGGTAAAATTAATTTATAAAATATAGTTTTATAATCTGCGATAAAGTTTGGAGGTAAATGTGGTAAAATTTGGTAATTTTTTATCATGATGGTAATTTGGTAATTTTTTATCATGGACAAGAGAACCATTTATTGGGTAAACCGTTGCCACATGAATTACCAAATGAATTGTTTAAAAACCATATATTTTGGTTTTATTAACCAGAATTACGGGCTTTTTCTATCTGAAGTTTCGTTATTACACAGTACGGTAATTTTATCAGAATGTTTTCTTCATTTGATAAAAGGATAAAAAAAAAAATTACAGTTGGACTAAACATGGGGGTCCTCATGATTTTTCCTTTAACAAAACACAAATGGCGTTATTTTCACTTCTAAAGTTTTAAAAAAGACAAGCTTATCTAATGCTTGATTTCCGTTGCAAAATTACCGGTTATAGAATTGAACATCTTCTATAAGATTTGGTTGCTCAAATGGATATAGTTTCTTAAAAAAATTGCGTAGTTTTTCTGATACCAAAACTCAACGGATGATCATTTTCAAACTTTGTCTCTTTTTCTGTTTTCAAAAATATAAATATTAGCTCAAGTCAGCTTTTCAAAGACCAATTACAACTTTAAAAAAACGAAAAAAGATCAATTCCTTAAATATTTTCATTAAAGTTGCTGTTATGTAAATAACTCATAACGCGCCAAGAATGGTGACTCAAATGAAATGCGACTACGTGTGATAGCGTTAAAAAAAGGTGAGATGAATGATGAATACACAGTAGACTGAGAATAACTAATTAACCAATACACGTAAAAGCATTTGAAAGTGAATGTAAAGTCAAGCTAAGAACGATTCGCTCAATGCAAAATAACCTGAACAAGTTTGGGTGCCAATGGTAGATCATACTTGCACTGTTTCTTTATTCATATGTCACGAATCGTAATTTCTCAAATACTAATCATCATTTTATTAACAGCGGCAATTAATTCATTGAAATGATACCGTTTGTTTGCCCTGAATATTAGTAGATTGGGCATTAACGTACACCATTCACGAAAACTGTTACAGCATTTGTTATTAGCTATTTGGCTTTGACAATGTTTGCCATAAAAAAGTAAGCATTCGATATTAAAAGCCCACATTACGCTTACTTTTTACCACTAAATCTTACTACTGCACGTAATTGTGTATTGGGTGAATCCATCTAAGCACGACTTTACACTCACTTTAAATGTTCACATGCAAACTTGTGTTTTAATCAGTTATAAATATAAATTATGGTACAATGTTATTGCTATCAAACTTATTACGCTATTATATGCGATAATTTTTTACGTGGGCAACCCATATGATTCCTTTTTTTTTATACTAAAAACAAACATTTTTCTTCCTGTGTAGAATGAATATACAGCGTGTTGCTAAACACTTTTTTGGAAGCAAAAGCATTCTTTTAAGGTTACTCAGTTAAATAAATTAATAAAAATCAATCAATTCCAATCCCCAATTCAAATTAACTAATATTAATAAGTTAAAAAATGAATTCGAATCGAAATGATTAAATTGATTCAAATCAAAAGATTATATTGAATGGCTTAAACCAAATTTAAAATATATAAAAGAATGAATTTCTTGGAATCAACTGATTTTAATCAACTGTTTCAAATCAACAGAATAAAACAAAGGAAAGAAATCAATTGCAAAATTCATCAAGCGAGACAGAAAATTATAAATGAATCACCTGGTACAAATTAACAAATACGAATAAGTTGGCTCAAATCAAAGAATAATATTTATCTAGATCAATTAGAATCACTTACTTATTAAAAGAGAAATAATATTTAAATTGAAAAAGGAAAGTATATTGAATTCGAATGAAAAAAAATCATGAATGTAACACAGTTTTGGGACATGTTTATGGAACAACCGCATACATTTATGTGGTAGCTCTTCAATGAATAACTGCTTGAAAAAACATATTATTCGTGTCCCAAAGCCTCCTTTTGGAGGGGGAAAACATAATGTATGAACGAATATCATGTACATTGTTTTGATGTTGCATCTTTAAANGCTATCAAACTTATTACGCTATTATATGTGATAATTTTTTACGTGGGCAACCCATATAATTCCTTTTTTTTACTAAAAACAAACATTTTTCTTCCTGTGTAGAATATACAGCGTGTTGCTAAACACTTTTTTGGAAGCAAAAGCATTCTTTTAAGGTTACTCAGTTAAATAAATTAATAAAAATCAATCAATTCCAATCCCCAATTCAAATTAACTAATATTAATAAGTTAAAAAATGAATTCGAATCGAAATGATTAAATTGATTCAAATCAAAAGATTATATTGAATGGCTTAAACCAAATTTAAAATATATAAATGAATGAATTTCTTGGAATCAACTGATTTTAATCAACTGATTTTAATCAACTGTTTCAAATCAACAGAATAAAATAAAGGAAATAAATCAATTGCAAAACTCATCAAGCGAGACATAAAATTATAAATGAATCACCTGGTACAAATTAACAAATACGAATAAGTTGGTTCAAATCAAAGAATAATATTTATCCAGATCAATTAGAATCACTTACTTATTAAAAGAGAAATAATATTTAAATTAAAAAAGGAAAGTATATTGAATTCGAATGAAAAAAATCATGAATGTAACACAGTTTTGGGACATGTTTATGGAACAACCGCATACGTTTATGTGGTAGCTCTTCGATGAATAACTGCTTGAAAAAACATATTATTCGTGTCCCAAAGCCTCATTTTGGAGGAGAAAAACATAATGTATGAACGAATATCATGTACATTGTTTTGATGTTGCATCTTTAAATGTTTTTTAACAAATTTTATTTAAGAAAGTACTTTTGGAATTTCTAATTTGAATTAGTTTCAAAGTTTATGAAAGATATCTATTTAAATTAAAGAATTCCTGTCTACTGATTTAATCGTTTTCAATTATTTTACACTTTAAATCAGTTATTTTGAAACCAGCTACTCAAATATTCGTTCAAATCATTTATACAAAACCACTGATTAAAGTCTTTGATAGATTTTAAACCAAGAACCCTAATCATTTGTTAAAATGGTGAATGAAATCAATTGATTTAGTGCTTTAGTTATTTTAGTTATTAATTCAATCACTAGTCATACACATCCTTGATTCAAATCACTAATTCCGTCCTTATAATAAATTCAAAATGTATAAATTTTAAAGTGATGAGGTATGAAAAGTAAAAGACAACTTTTTTCAATCATTCTTCAAAGTTAATTCAACTTGTTGAAAATTCTAAGTTTAAATCCGTAATTAATTTGAATTAGTTGAAAATTTTGAAATTTTATGAAAAAATGAACATACCTTCCAAACGTTGATTATAAGTAATCAAGTAAGAATGGGATTTTGCACTCTTCAAAAGACTCTACAAAGACTCTGTTTCTTTTCTATTCCGTTTTCTGAAATACAAGTGGAAAGAAATCAATTGGTGTTTCAGAAAATTAAGCAATGTAAAAATTTAAAATACTTTAGCCAAACAATTAATGAGAATATAAATACAACTTAGGAAAAAAATATATCTGAGACAAAGAGAAACGAGTGTTTTTAACTACAATTGAAGGAAGCTGAAAATTAACAAAATAAATTTTGAGAATTATTACAACATCAAACATCATTTAAAACATCATAATGAAATTCTATTTAATTTCCGCAAAAGTGTGGAAGAAAATTTAACTAATAGTCAATAAGTAATTTAATACATATGATGAAATCCTCTTGTCAAAGCTGTTTTAGATTGAAACATTGTTAAGAGGAATTGAAATATATTTTCCATGAATTTAGTCATGCGCACAAAAGAAAGACAGAATATTCATATTTTTTAAATTTTGTAAGTAGGAAAATACGAAATATCTATATATAATTGACTATTATTAACTATTTTTTGTTATTAGTCACAAATTGATAAAATAAGTCATATTTCTTAGTATTTTACAGCAACGACATAATACAATACAAATAATGATAATACTTCAAATCTTTAGTATAATCTGTTCTTCGATTCCAAATAAACACTTCGCATTATTAAAATCATATTGCACTTTATAAGTAAAATCATTGGTATTAATTTGAAAATAAATGATAATGAGCTAATTTTTATTATTATATCTGCCTCTTTCGCTGAAATATATCTTGCTTAATATTTCTATTCAGAATGATAATATACTTTTTCATGAATAAACAAACCAATTTTAATGGAGGATTGTCATCAGATTTCAGGATCATGTGCACATTTATGTCCTAATTCTATCCTATTAAGTGAGTAAAAGTAATGGTAAATTTGGGAAATGAGGCAAGATAATCTTCTTTACTTATCTTGGTAAACAAAAAAGATATTATCTTAAAGCTTTATGTATCAGAAAGCTTTTATTTCAAAGATATAAGATAATGGTATCAGATGTTTTGAAGTTAATGGACTAAGTATTTTTTGAAGATGGCTACACATGATACCATCCAACTATGTTACTTAATTGAAGAATATTTAAGAATTCCATTTCTTGGGTATCTAATGAAGAAAGTTTTATGAACTTGTTTTAGAATTTGACTATTTTTGGATGCTTTAAAAATAAACTTCAGAGTAATGCTTTCGTTAATCATGTTGTGAAAGTTTATGAAACTGTTCCAATATATTGCTAAATTGCTAATAAAGAGTTAAATAAAACCTTATAGTAGTTTGTTAAAACCCTATGGCAGTTTGGTAAAACCTTATGGCAGTTTGTTAAAAAGAATTTGTGAAGCATACTTTCTTGACACTTTTCAAATACATATTTTCCTCATTTTCACTACAAGGAATATTAATATTATTTCTCTTTAGCATGAATCTAGAAAAACTTTTATACTAATATAATTACAAAACGAGAAGAAAGATTTGTTAAAAGCTTTTTTAGAAAATCTAAGAAATTCGAATTTAAAAATATCAGACTTGTAAAGGATTTAAAAATTTATTGAAATTATTTAGAGAAATGCACCAAAAATATAAAAAATACTAATCAAAACTCTGTCTTTTTAATGTCTTTTTAAAAAGCAGGTTTGATTTTGAATGCATGATCAATTGTACATTTTATTTGCAAATGTCCGCAACAAAGCAAGCTGCATATCCTTCAAGTAACTAAACTTCAGAAACCAAAAAATATAATTAAATAATAAATTTATTGCATTAATTCTAGACATTGAAGCATTAAAAACATTTTTTAAACTTTATTTACATTTTGTATTTCTTACAGATGAAATATGCGTTAAGTTTATTTAGGGCTAGTATTCTAGGATGCCCCAGGATGTCTCGTAATCACCCCCTTTAATTAACAGTGTGCAAAAAAACGCAACATCCTGAATAACTTTTGATCTAATGATCGAATCTTAATTTTCTAGAGCTCAATCTTATTGGTTCGAGGGTATGAGCTCAAATATGCTACTTTAGTAGTGCTAACGATAATTTAAGTTGCGAAATCAGACACAAAATCTCACTTTCTCTGAATAAACATACTTTTTCTTTTTTTGACGGATTCAGATTTTTGACCCACTCCCTCAAAACTATGGGGATATTTTATATTTTACAACCGTCGTTGAACAGTCGACCCAATTTTCTTTTGGGGGGGGGGTACGACTACTAATGTTCAACTCCGTAGCCTTGTGATTTTGAACCCAATCCAGAAGACAAGGGAGCTCCTGGATCAAGTATTGGGAGAAATATGCCTTTGTGAAGGACTTTTTGATGGAACTAGCCCGCATTTGCGCTACGCGGAGAAGACGACGCCCATAGTTAGCCTGACGGCAAAGGGACTCCGTCTACCACTAAGGATATTTCACGTCAGCACTGTGGTCGGTGCAAGCCGGATGCGGATTCACTTCGACCAGCCATGGCTGGGGATTCAAACCCGGTTCACCTAGTTGGAAGGCGGACGCTGTATCTCCTGAGCGTTTGGGACCACAAATGTTAATTTTACTGTTTTGCCTAGTTCGCTTTATCAAGAAAACTTTATCAGAGAATTGAAAAATTTTTACATACAAGTATAAAACTCGTGTATTGAAAGATTTCTTGGTAAAAAATATATTTTAGTAAAGATTTATTATTTTTTAATAATAATACTTAATTACAGTTGAAAAAATGTTGAATCATAAGATGCAAATTTTTTTGCATCGTTTTGGAGAGCGAAATTTTGCATGGCAAAATACTAAAATGAACTAATTCATTAATAAGTTTTAGAATAAAATATAACTTAATTTTTAATGTGGTCAATATTTACAATCTTCATAAGCGTTAAGTAAAAAGAATATGAATTCATTGCTTAAAATATTCATGTTTTTTTTCTTAATGTTTCGATATCGAGCAATAATAATAACGAAAGGATTTTCTTTTATATCTTAAATGTGGTTAAAAGGATTGAAAAATTTATTAAAAGAGCAAATTACTGTAAATGTCAAGCATTCTACGTACATAAATAAAAAAAATACTTTTTTTTTTTGTTTATATATGAAAAAAAAATTTGTTCATATATGTTACTAACTTAAAAATATTAATGTTAATATTCAAATAGTAATAGATTGCATAAAAACTTTGTGCTTCGGTAACAATTACCCTTAAACAATAGTTATTACATCCATAAAATTTTAACAACATTACCAAATTATTAATTAATTTTTCTACGGATACAATTTTAAGCCTGCTATTTATTTTCGGCAAAATTTAGTTTTATATAAGTACTTTTTCTTTGCTGAAAATGCCGTAAAATAAAATTATTAATACGACAAAACAGGGGGTAAAAATACTTCAGAAACATTCAAAAAGTAAAACTAGACACATTCAATATTTCTTAAAAGCTATCCAATGATACCAAACTCAATCGTTCACCCGCAACTCCCGGATTGTGGCCAGGGGAACTCTGAAATCTTCAGCATGAACCCCTATTTTTTAATGCAGATTATAATTCTAAAGAAAAAAGTAACTCTATTTGAGTTGTAGGGTTATTCATTTTGCTTCACAGATGGCACTGCGACCGAGAAAAAATTTAATAGGGTTTCAAGTTGTTTAAAATGGTGAATCTCGGTCAAGAATTACCAAAATTTTAATCAGCTGTACCCTATTCAATTTTTTTAAGTTACAGCGATGAGTCTCGATCACGAGTTACCACAATTTAAACAGCTTGTACTCTATTTAGTTTTTCTAGATTACAACGCCATCTGTGAAGAAAAAAATTCATAAAGCCACACCTCAAACGGGGTTTTTTTTCGGTGAATCCGAATCTGCATTGAAAAATAAGGGTTCGTATTTAAGATTACAAAATTGCTCCCATCCCAGCCCCTAGGTTGTGAAAGTGCAATATTCGAACTCTCGCTGGGCCCATATCCAAGAGGTCGTGGGTTCGATCCTCGCCAGCCGAAGACTCCCCGTGTAGTAAATGGTGACTGATGCACGTTAAATCTGTCGAGTCTCAAAGTCCTCCATGTTCCCACAACAAATCAATACCTCTGGGGGTACTGATCCAGGAGTTTCCTTGTCTTCTGGATTGGTTCAAAATTACAAGGCTACGGAGTTGAACGTAAGTAGTCGTAAACCCATGAAATTGGGTCGGCTGTTCAACGACGGTTATAAAATAAAATAAAATATTCGAACTCTGTACCACTGGATAGCTTTTAAAAATATTATATGAGACAATTTTCCCTTTTTCGATCCGAAGCATATTTCTTGAGATATTTAGCCATTTCCACACTTTTTTCAGACTCTGTATATTCAATGTATATTCAATCTATTCAATGAAAGCGAAATCCATGCATTCATGCCCGAATGTAGGCCAGAATTTAGTGGCTCTGAAAGAACCAAATTTTTCTTTGATGGAAAGCTGAAATGGCCTATAAGAATATCGTTCCTGGTGTTAGGATTGCATTGCCAAGAAGCTCAATATGTTTTATACATTTCGATTGCCTCATTAACCTGAAACGTGTGCAACTTGCAAAAGCAATAGCTGAATATAGTGTTTATAAAACATGCGTGAAAATGCTGCGAGAAAAAAACATAAAAAGGTTTCTTTTCATTTATCCAAAGCGCTTTTTTTATCCCAAGCTCTCACTCATGGTTTAAAACGAGGATATTCAAATATATTGTAAGCCTTTAAAGATCTTTTTTTCAAAAATCATTCAATTTGAATGCTGCTTTGAGAAAGTCATTTGTTTGAGAAAATAGGTAAAGGATTCAGTTGGGGAAAATTATTTGAGTACTTTTTTTAAGATTGAAATTAATTTATTTCAATGTGTATTAATATACCTCATAAATTTTATTTTCGGTGCTTTTTCCCGACGATTTTTAAAAAATTTTAAATTATTTTTTAGTAGTTCGAATTTGAAGATTTAAAAAAATCAAATAT